AAAAAAAAAAAAAAAAAAAAAAAAGTATCCGCTGATTAACGAACAAGGATAAGCAGAGAAATGTAAACACATAATAAAAAGAACCTCATTTCTTACAATGCTTGAACTAGAATTTACAAAAACAAGCTCAACTGCAACACAGACAATAGAATCACCTAGTTCCCATTGTCCAAATCAGACCAGTATATCATCAAAACATAAAAAGGGAAACATCATCTGCGATTATATGAAGCAAAACTATATTAATATCCCTACACTCCAACTCTTGTTCAAAATTTGCATCAAGATATCAACCAAATCAACACCAAATTTTCAGCTGAATCGCACTCATAGATGGAACGGTGACTGCAAAAGAAATTATAAGGGATCGAGAAAATTAGCCCAACAAACCATCGGCAAGACGACACTCCTCATAAATCCAACAGAGTGATTAATAAAATTAGGGAAGGCGGGTTCTTTAATCGCATACAAATGATACAAAAAGGGCGTAATAGCGCGTTTACCAGGGGCACGTGGACGTTCCAGGAGAATCTCCTCTGTGGAGACCATGGTGAGGCGGCTGCCGACGTCCTCGTGCACAGCGTCACCAAACTTAGGCCACGAACGGCGCTCGATCGCGCGTTTGCTGAGACGAGCGTTTGCCAGCTTACGGATCCCCGTGGTGGTGGTGATCTTCACCTTGTTGCCTTCGTCGTTGAACTTATACTCCACAACTTTCTTTATCCCGTTCTCGTCCGGTCCGATCACCTGCTTCGGTGGCAAGAGAAAATCTAAATCCTCTCCGTCGTCCTCCTCCAGCTCTCCCCATCGCATCTTGCTCGGTTGCGCCGCCGTCTCAACCCCCATAGTTTTCCAAATTCGAAGGATAGAAAAATGAGATAAATCTGTTCTAGGGTTTCAATTTATGCTTATGTAGATGACCAGTTTAACCTGGGTAATAGTAATACAATTTGACATATATATATAAACAAATTCCATCGATGTGTAACTCGATAAAGTAGAAATATCAAAATTTATTTATTTCTATCAATTAGGAACTTTTTGGTAAATCAATTATTAATTAGTAAACACTTGTGTATTACACGAGTGTGTTAAAAAATTATTCTTAAATTTTAAAATTAATAAGAAGTATGATTTTAAATTTTATAAATTTTGTTACAAAAAAGTATATATTATTATATAATTTAGAATGCCACATGTTATTTGTGCGATATTATATTATAGTCATATTTATAACTTAGTATCATATAAGTACGTGAAATATAAATATATTAATTGATAAATAATTTTATTTGTTTAATTAATATTAAAAACAATTATATTATTGTTATAAAGATCAATATAATTTTCTTATACATAAAATATAGATGTTAAATCGAAATTCATCAAGAGATGATTAATTTGATATATTATATATGTAAATTAATAAAAATACAAAAATTATTAAATTTTAAAATACATTTTTGATTCAATAGTAATAATAAGAATAATATTAAAATCCAATTAATACATGTAAAATAACAATAAATAATCAACATATTTATGGGTAATTCGAACCTAATTATTTTTGAATTGGAAGGAAATTAAAAGTTTCTCAAGCCTAATAACAACCATGTAATTTTACCGCCACATAGAAAACCGAAACATGCGAGTTTGCCACTTAAACTCAACACGTTTTGAATTAATATATAGGAGGATGTAGAGTTTGAAAAATTAGGAATGCATTCAATTAAAATTTTTAAAGACTTTTAAGATCTCTAGGTATTAAAGTGAAGTAATGAAGCAAAATCAATTTTGATTAAACAAAGTTTCAGATATTTTCACCAAAAAAAAAAAA